CCGTTAGGACCGCGGGCCCGGTCCGGTCCGGTTCAGGCCCGGCCCACCGAGCAGCATTAGCTAAAATAAGTATAACGTGCATCACAGTGAAGTTGTATTTTAGACAAACTAAGTACAAAGCAGAGAACAAAACTCGGCCAACTTGACCAGTGGGAGGTCCTTCTTCAATTCGGCTCTACCATAAGTGGAAGGAAATTCACAACTGTGATTAAAAGGTTATCTGACATAACGTCTAAGACAAGAGATAAGCTTTGCAATTTGGACCAAGGGACACCTCTGAGCTTATCTATCCAGTGGATAGAGAAGTGTTCCGTTGTTGGCTGTAACTTTAAATTCTTGACACTCTTGGGCAGAAATAATTCAAGATATTGTAAATCAAAAACATCAAGTATGTTCCCTCGGATTTTTATGGACAGGGATTGCAGGAAATATAAGAGCTCATAAGGTTTACCAACAAAGGAAGCCAGGGAGAAGTCACACAGTACAGAAGCAACTTTTTGTTGGTGTAAGCACAATGGACTTCCAATTATCGTGACAGTTCTATTTTCTGAAAGTAATGATAATGAACGGAGTTAATAAATGGCAAGTGCAAAAGCTCAAAGTTCAGTTTTCTATACCCAGACAGCCTAAGAAAGATCGTCGAAGGTCAATGAATTTTTTTTTAATAAAAGATTTGCAGATAAATGAATTGGCTCCCAAATATACTTATACACCACAAGTTACTTAAGCTAACAAATCTGCTTTTGGAAGTTGAAATGTAATGGCTCAAGTGAACTATTACAATTAAGTAAAATTCATTTATGCAGAGAGAATTCCAGGATAATAGCGTTTGAATCCATATAGAAGACCCCTCGAATTGAGTTTCTCAAACTATATCTCTAATAACAAAAAACTTATACATCTCATAAAAATTTATGCACTCTTTTTATAAAACAACATAAGTTTGGGCCGGGCTCAGCACGGGCCATTCTACACTAGTATATATTAGAAACGGGAGTTTGTATGCACGAAGACATGTTTGTCATGGGCATTTTTGTATTTTTATGCCAATTTCAGCATTTTCATTCTCTTCGATGTCCTGACATGTGCGTGCTCTTTGTAAATTGTTACTACTATATACAATTGGTAGACGGTAGTGTATACTGTAAAATTGGGCTCATTTCACCTGTGAATAAACACGTGGATTGCAACTCTCTTTAACCAAATCACGTGTACCACTACTTAGATTGATTGTACAAGATTAACAGCCCTATTTGGGAGACTTTGCAATTTTCTTTCTCCTTCCCTGAGCTCCCTACTCCTACGCTCTCTGCAATTCTCCTCGAAGTGCAATCTATCTTTTCGGTAAGTTTTTCGACTTTTTCTTTGCGCTGCTCTTTCTTCGTCAGTCTTTCAGTGTCGGGTCTATATGTTTTAATGAGTTGCTTCTCTATATTCCACACTCTTTTAAAGTGTGAGTTTTTTCTGTTGATGGTCTTTGATTGTGTGAAAATGGTAGTTATCAGATTCTTCACTTCCAATTATTGCCACGAAAGCTATGTATGTGTTCGTTTTGGTTGGATTTCTTATACTGAGGTTTGCTCCCTCTGGGTTTTATACTAATTTGAGATCTCTGTGTTGAACTTCGTATTTACTTCTTTTACTTATTTACCAAAGTACGTATACGGGTAGATACGCAAATTGCACAACACTTTACCATTATTTTAATTTTATTGGCTATTTAATTAGGAATTGCATCTGCATTTGAACAGAATTTAGCTTCGAAGTTGTAGGGAAAAACCCCTTTTACATACAGTGAAGTCCAGACTTTTAGGAGGTCTGACAGAGCCCAAACGTAGAACTGAGACTCTGCGCCTCTCATGAACCATTGGGTCGCCTAGAAAAGTATCTACTTTTGTGTTGAAGATAAAGAGTACTACAAAAAGGGAATCTATAATAGAGAGCCAGTGTAATAATTTTCAACCAATTGGGTTAATGAATTAGACGTTGATTATTTTGATATTACATGGTTTGCTTCACCCATCTTTTTTTCTTATCTCTTTGAGTTTATTTTATCAACTTTAATTCTTACATGATTTTCTATTAATATTTGGAAAGTTTAATTTTTGAATAATGAAAATAACAAAAAAATGTGGTGATTCAAGGGCGGACTTAATGTTGCCCTTTTAGCTATAAATTTTCCATCTTACTCCTTCTCCACTATGGTTGCACTCCTGCCTGATAGGAGAATAAAAGTGATTGTAAATACCCAATATATGATCATTCTCGATTTTGTTCATCAATCCTTCTTTCGAATTGTGAATGATATTCAATCAAGAGTAAATTTTAGAGAGGGTATAGTTAGCATATTCTGTTAGTCGTGGATAAATGATCACTAAAGCTTTCACAGAAAGCAGAAAAGAACCATCTTATCGTCTCTCTGTATGATAATGGATAAATTGTCCTATCTAAAATCCGTAAGTCTTAATTTTTTCTAATTATGTTTTACACATTTGAATTTATGCTATTAATGAGCTGCAAATGCCCAAAAATATGTTATCGTGTTTCTCTTTGTCTCTCTCTTTTTTGGGTTTGTGAGGGTGGAGCATAAGGTTCAGTTAAAAGAGATTAATTTTTTATATTTGATCCTTTCTTTATGGTTACCCCTTTCTTTTCCGTCGTTGAGATGAGTTGCTTAATGAAGAGCTTGGAAGGAACTATATGGAAATTTTGTCAGTTTATCCAGGGGATTGAGATGTAGGCTTGAGATGAACACATGCGTATTCCAACAATATCATCGAGATATAACCAACCCCTCAAAGGAAAATAGTGAACTTGGGTGTACTATCAACAGAGGTACAACTTATTCAAAATACTTTTATTAGCTAATTCTTTTTGCAGTCCATAATGTGTGTTGCTTTAGAAGACAATTTTTCCTTCATGATTTTTTTTAATTTATTTATTGTTAAAGGTGATATATTACTTTCAGCAGAAAGTGCTTTAAAATTATTTAAAACCGTAGGCTTACATTATGAATTGTATAATGAGCTCAAGAGTTCAACCATGGTCTTAATGTCATTTGCATTAGCCATGTTGCACCAAAAAAATAAAAAATAAAAAAAAAAAGATATTCATCTTATTTAACACTAATTACAGATTTTAGTTTGCTCTAAAAAAAATCTTGCATTCCTTTCTTTCCAAATTATCCACCAAATCACTAAAGAGATTGTGTTCCAGGTTTCCTTTTGCCTTTTCTAAACCTCTAAGATGCCACCTCTGTAATAACTCCTTTGTTTTTATTGGCATTGTCCAGGTGACCCTCAGGTTTTTCTTCATGATTTGAAGCATACTGCTGCAAGTTCATCACAAAATATGGATTATTTAGAGATTATGTTGGTACATCTTGCGCCTTTACCTCCTTAATTTCTTTCTTCTTGGGTTGTCCATCTTTATCAGAGCTATTTGGACTTGAATTATAGTGTGATTGCTCCTTGTGATTGCTGGTAGTTTAATATCTGGTGCATCTCTTGAATTCAATGTCTATCTCAACACTAAAATGGAAACTTTGGTGCACTATTTTTTCCCCTCTCCTCCTCCTCTTCCATAAAAAAGGGAAAAGAAAAAGGCTATGCTTATATAGAAAGTAAGAGAGAAAGAAAATAGGAAACATGTGTCTAAAGGTTGAGAAACAATTCTCTTCCTTGCAAGCGATAGTTAATCAATCCAAGGGGAATCAATTTGATATACTCAAAGTTGAAATGAGAAATTGTCCTCTTATGTTCGTCCATAATGGGAGTAGGAGAAAGGAAAGCGCACTCGATCAATTACTATATTGTGTCGTAAGACAAAAAGTCAGTTGGACACGTGGGAACATGTAAATAGGTATGTTAATAATGTAGCAATTTATACTTTTGTGTGTGGTGTGTCTGATCTCTTTAGTATTATTTAGTGATGCACGTCTCCGGTGCAATTCTTTAACTCTTCAATTTTATCGTTTTGAATATTATTTCTCTTTCTCTAGGTGATTATCTCCAAGGATGACATCGATATTCTTGACTTTGCTGGTTGGAAGATATAAAGGTGTGAACAGGATGTTTTGCTCTTGCATATAAACTAATATCAACCTAGGCGACATAATTACTATTCAAAATGTGTGGTTGAATATATGTTGGTCCTCTGCATATTGACATATTAAATTAGTACTAGCTGTCTTGAGAAACTTGATTATGACAAATAGAAGTTGTAGGAAGGATTAACTATGTTTTAGCAACTTTTCTCAAGTGTAGACAGAATTTGCAACTTTTAGTTTGGGATATTCATTCAGTGATATTTCTTTTTCTTTACTTTTAAGTTTCCTTTATATGTGACTTTTCCTAATTTTCATTTATATGCTTTTTGCACTTCTATTGCGTGCAATTTTCTTTTGCCAACATAGATTAACTTGTTGATCATTACTATATATGTAAGTGCTTATTGATATTCTGAATGGTCATAAGGTTCAGCTTATGCTTCAACTTTCAAATTAAAGTTCCTCATTTTGTGGTTAGCATGTTACTCTTTACTTACTTTTTTACTTCTATCTTTGATCCAATTATATGTCGACAAAAGATGGAAAGGCAGATGGAAGTCGTTGTGTAAGAATTGTAATGTCTATGAGTTCAAGTAATTACACTTCATTATTCAGACTTGCCAAACTTATTAGAAGATATTGACTTTCCCTTCTTGGAGAAGATGTATTCAGCGAGTCGTCTTTTTATGCGCAAGAGATATGGAGAGAGTACAAGGCCAGAAGAAATCTTGCTGATTGTGCTATTGTGGCTGAAGAGCTATGGTTTGTGGTCTTACTTTTTAAAAACTGAATCTTGATTTTATGTCTTTATTATAATTATTGAAGTGGTCATGTAATATATGTAGGTAGAACGTCTTGGATTTTGCAGCTCTCAAAGGGAGTTTTGTGTCATTCTTCAATATGGAGAAACCAGAAAGTACTATACAGTGGAATATAGTGTACAAGGGTCTATGGGGCTATTGATTTGCGTTAAAGACATTAAATTTATTTTAATAAAGAAAATCTTTGTGAATTAGTTCAATAGGTCAATTTATTCTTCAAGTATCAATAATCGTGAACAGATTCTTTTTACCTTTTAATGTTGTGTAGAAGATTCACGATTCCATATGGGCACAATTTATATTTCACTATGACTATGTGATTTGAAAGTGAAAGCCCTACTTTTTCTACCAGTGAATGTTATTACAGGATTTTATACCTATATTATATGAATAAAAATGTTTATCAACAATTTTCATGAGTTGAAACATCTCAGTGCTGACATGTTAAATTATCAACTTTTTCATTGAAGGTTGAATGTTGGAGACAGGAAAGAAATACTTCTTTAAGTGCAACAATCGTGTATGCTAATGTATATTTGTCAGGAGGAGAAATAAATTTTGGGAGATCAATCTTCAAAATTAATTGTTGCATCTTATTTGTTGGTAATCTGGATTCTATACTTCGATTTAGATCTGGAGTTGAGCTCTTTTTTTGCTTCATATCTGCTGCCATTGTTATTTCAGCATGACCATTGTTTCAAAGTTATTTCAAACTCATGTTATTTTTTCACAGGCTCAAATAAGTAGCCTGCAGTGTTGGGCCCGTGATCCCTATCTAGTATGTATATGTATTCAAACGTATGTAGCGCTAAATACGTAACGTATCTGCGCAATATCTGGGTCGACGAAG